GACCGTGAATATGCGGTGAAAATTCGACTACCACTTGAGAGAGAGAGAGAGAGAGAGAGAGAGAGAGAGAAGAAAAAAGAAGAAAATCGTCTCTAATAGTAGCGTGATCCTGAATTAGTATAAAACGGTGAAGAGTAACGAGCGAATGAGAGACGGAAGAAAATAGGGAGTCGTTATGGTTGAGAGAGAGAGAGATATATATACCGATGGTACTTCAAAAGCTCATACTTAGGACTGATTGTTCTTCTGGTGATTGCATCCTTCTCGGTATCATTCACCCTCTCTCTTGCTTTCATCGCCGCTCTCCAACCTCATCCTTTCTTTTTACATTTCAAATGCTCGATAACTGATATTTCAGGAACGTTTCCAATCTTCCACAATTGAGAGAAACAGTGGCCGTTCGGTCACTATGCAGTTTCCCGTGGTACAAACTTGAAACAGTCAATATCGAACGTTCGCCGCAATACCGGATAACCAAACTTTTCCAATAAAATTCCATTACAACGAAGATTCAATATTTCGAAAAGTAAAACCGAAATCACGACCTTGTTTCAAAAAGTAAAACCCACGTTTCTAACGCTAGAGTGACACAATTTCTCGCCAACATCCACCAACGTTCGCAACAGCTGTATCAAATAATCACACTTTTCGATTCGTTCTCCTTCTTCTTTGTTTTTTCATCGGAAGACTCAGTGTTGCACAACGTTCCAATTTTGATAAATAAACAAAAAAATCACCATTTTTTACAGCCGCCGAATGAGGGTAACGTTAAAACGTATACCGAAATCCCTCGCGTTTACACTGTCCTGGAGCTTTCAAGTCGTAGAATTTCTGTCTGGCAACGTCGGGACCGGACAATTCTCATCCATATATTATCAAGAGTTATGAAGTATTCGTATGCGGTACCGCGGGCTCACCTACTTTCTCATGTTATGAAACACAAGCCGTCCCTCAAACCCTAATGTATATAACCGAAAGCAAATGGAGATCCCGTGTAACGTTCTGGATGGTCTTTTTCTCCCTTCCCTCCCACCCTCTCCCACCGAAAGCTCGGCGAATCAGGACAGGACCAAAAACTGAACACCGATTTCCATTTACCAATACGATTATCTGGCAGATTCGAAACGCGCAATATCGCCGGACTATTGCTACCCAGTTACAGAAGCTGGTAAATTACGATCGTCGAATATTGTAAAGCCTCGTTGTCGGGTGATCCTTGAATATTCGTTATCGTTTCGACAGGAGCCAGGCTCGAGCTCCAGGGACGACCGAACGTTTCTGGAGTGGTGTGCACTCGAGTATAATTAGATGTCCCAGTTTACACGGCATCTCATTATGGAATCCATTCTGCCAGCCACAAAAGCTACGATACGTGCTTACATCGGCCGCCTTCCGTTCTCCACCCACTCGATAATAAGCTCACCGCCTTATCGAAATTAACCATCTGCCTTGCCGCGCTTCTCCTCGTGTTTCTAGACAGCGAGGCTGCGCGATTCAGAACAAGAAGATCCACCGCTCGCCTTTTCCTTTCGTTTCCTCTTTAATCCTCTCCCCAACGCTCGGTTCCGTTCGAATGCGAGTGGATGTCTTTAGCCGAGACGATGTCTTGTGAATTTTTAGGGAGAACCTAGCGACTTTTTACGTTAGCTCGAAAGGACCTTTCTTTCGCTGTACCGGAATCTTACGTTACACTCGCGACAGAGTCGAGAGTGTTGAAGATTTCACAAGAGGGTGAAAAATTTCAATCGACGAGGTGTGATGAACGTTTCGAAGTGTGAGATGTGATCGATAAATTGGAGCTTTCGTTTAATTTCCAAACATCCGGTGGAAATAATGAAAAGGAATCTATACTAAATGCAACGGATTCGAGTAATAAATTGCTCCAATAAAAGCTATCGAAGTGTTGTCGAATCGAGTTTAATTTTAACGACCCTAAAAGAGTGCAATCTTTTTTTCCTCCCTTCCCCGGATGAAAAATCGAACACGCTTCGCGACAAATTGCGAGATAGAATTTCGAGGAGCCTTTCGTTCTTCGATCATTATTTCATCGTGGAGAAAAAGGAAAGGAAAAAGAGAAAGATTGTATGATACGTTAGGTATCAAGGTATCCAGCAAAAGAGGCAGGCCTCGTAGAGGATGAAATCCGGTGTAATTAGTAGTTCACACTTGACCCATTAAAAAAAAGTGTCCATTCGGCTGCTATGAGGACCATTGTGAACCAGGGTCATCAGAATAATCAGCTGCAATCAGTCGTGTTCATCGTTGAACTAAATTCGATCCATCAATAGGTCAGTAATTCTAATTAGTATGATTTACGATTTAAATTCCATTGTTCCTCGTTATATCCTTCCTTCTTTTCTTCGCCATCGCGACACGATCATTTCGAAATTAATGAAAATTCGACGCAGGTATCCTTAATTCCGTGAAATACGATGTTCCGTGAACTCCAATTATCAACCGTGTTATCAATACAGAATTAACCGGCGAAACGAGGAGATATTGCCGCACGATTTCAAGGTACACTCGACAAACGTCCGGCACAACAATTGTCTTTGCGGCAAGAACGCGTATTAATTAAAGCATAATTGCAAATCGGCATTCGATGAACCGGACCACCCTATCGAAGAAGATCAAATTGGAAAGAGAAAGAAGGAAAGCAAGCAAGAAAAACAGAGAAACGTTCAGCATGCGGTAGGACAAAGGTCAAGCTCGATATAGGTCGACCTATGGACGGACCCCTTTTGCGGAAGAACTTCAATGCTTCCTGCATTTTTTCTTACTCGAGGGATGGCCAAACTGAGCCTGGTGCCGCCTTAAAGTAGCTCAAGGTTCGCGTTAAGACTGCAGTGCCATGTTATAGCTAAATGGTTTATGCAAAAAAACGAATTATTTTGACTGGTCGCGTCGCCAGGCCGAAACTTGCCCTGGCGAGTTTTAAAAGATTCCACGAGAATAATAGTCCAGTGAAACTTGCTCCGGAATGTGAAAGAGAGAGAGAGAGAGAGAAAAAAAGATGTTAGAAAGGTACATAAGTACTTCGGTATTTTCCACACACCATGAGATATATCGCGGCGTTGTTTTCTTTCCGAGTTTTTTCGCCGGAACTTTTCGGGTATAGAATTTTATTTTCACAGAGGTAAACTGTTCCGAATGAAGTTGTTCTGGAAAATATAATTTCCCCACTACTTCACGTTTCCTTTTTTCTCATTCGACATTTTTCTTTTTCTCATCCAAGGAAAAATTACCGGCGACACTTCGTGCAGGTATTTCACCTCTCGATTAATTTCACGTTCGAATAAGAATTCTTGGAGGAAATCAGTTGAAATATTCCGAGGTTGTAGAAATTGTTACACGAGAAGATTATAGGGGAAAAAATTTGCCTTAGATAGAATACTGGTTGATAATGTCAATGATCCAAGGTCACGTGTAGAATCCATGAGAGGAATAAGAGCTGAAATTCAACGGGACGAATTTAGACTGCGGCCTTCGGCTCGGATTCATCTCAATGTAGCCGTAGAAATTCGATTAGCCGGACGTTCGATTCTACGAACTATTATTTTAATCGTGTTTTCAGACCGGATGAAAATTCCGACAATTTGGCGGATATTTACCGTTAGAACGAGAATTAAATTACAGGTGATTAATTAAAAACTAGTCACAGGCAAATCTGACGTGGAGAAAAGGTTCATTCGATATTTTCGTATGTAACTTGTGTTTTATTTCTATTACAGTCCAATTGTTCCCGTCGTCACCGAAGAATTTCCCCTAACTTTCACGTCGACGTGAAAACAGAATTTTATTTCCTTTGTCGAAATGAAATATGTCCCGTTGCTTACGCGTCAATTTTCATTTGCTGCACCCTGGAAAAGGGTGTTTTTCTCTTTCTCGTCTGGTACGGGGGAAAATTGGAAAAATTTCCCCGTGAAAAATAATTCCCACGATGAGAGGGCGGCGCAGAAAAACGAGCGCCGCTTGCAAGAAAACAAGTTTCGTAACGGGAGCATATATTCCACAGCTCGTTTCCGAAATTTCTTTGGTGGTCTGGCGAGCATCAAGGTCTCGAGCGTAAACAACTCGATTAGGTCAAGATTCACTTGGCCGATTTTATCGCATGAAAAGAATCTTTTTATCTACACGAGAAACATTATATTCAAGTAGTGAACGGTTATTTTTCGCGACACCCCCGTTCTCCATTGTAAATTCGAGTTTCACTTTAATTAAGCAAGCGTTCACCCTAACGCCATTTCGAATAATATTGTCCAACCTGTATTTTCTCACGTTCGACGAAAGATATCGTTCAATCGATGAAAATAATCGGTAAACGACTGAAAGTATAAGGCCCCAACGAGGATGGAAAAATAGAATTTTGTGTATGTAAGATGTACAGGCGGTCAGAAAAGACTATGCACGCCTATCTAACTTGGTATATTTAAACTGTCAAAACAAACTGACAATAGTGCATCACTGTAAGAGTATACATTGTCATAGAATGTTCAAAAATGTTGCTTCTGCTTACATACGAATACACAATTCCTTCTCAAACTAACTTTATTTTGGAAAAAATTGAACCTTTACTTAAAAAATCTATATTTCAAACAACGACCAATATTCAATATCTTGCAAAATCATTCAGGACCACTTTAATGATAATGATAGATCTCCTTCACAACGATCACCTTTCAAGGGTTCTGCATAATCTTTCTAACTGATTGTAATCTTTCACCTATAAAGCGTCGAACGTTTAATTTCGATTAAAAATGAATTTTTATCGCAACTATAACGTCGTTCTAAAATTTCAACTAAACACTCGTATCGTTTTTTTTTAAAGAGCCCTCTCTACCAAATGCGCGGTGTACTCTGCTAACCAACATCGATTTACTCAAAAATATTCTAACATATCGTCGAACGTTATCAGAATTACAACCTCTGCACGGTGAGAATAATGGGAAAAGAATGAGACTTTTAACCGTTGCTTGGTTACGTTTCGCAGAAAATTTTACCTCTATCAATGGACGCAGGGGTCGTCATCGATGCGATGAGAGAGTGGATATCACTTGTCGACTTCCTCCTCCTCCTCCTCCTCTTCTTCTTCCTCTTCTTCCTCGTCCTCCTCGTCTTCGTCTGCAGGAGGAGGCAGGGATCTAGTGGTCATCTCCGTCTTACCCACGACCGCGAGTTCATCCTTACCACACCTGATATCACCTACCATCTCAAACACACGCGTAAATAAACATTTTCTACATATCCATTAACACAGTGCGAGACAGTGTGTGTGATCGATCAGAAAATAATCCAAGCAAATGGAATTCACCGACGATCGCGTAATTCGAAAGTATTCCGAATGAAAAAAAAACTTTCTATTCATAGAGATGTAAAAAGACCGTGGATTTACCACCTCCCCCGGTTGGGTATCGGGAGAATTTCAAAATTCCTCACCCTTGTGAAATTCGCTCTGTGATTTCGACAGCTCGAAGGAATTGTCACTGTTGCAACTCAAGAGAAACGGGAATTTACACTTTTGAAAAATCACTTGTGAATGAAAATTGAAATTAGAGAAACGCAGAAACGTATCGAATCGTTACCAGGTGCGAGGGGGGAGAGAGGCATTGAAAGATCGATACAGGATGGGTCGGATAGGTTCCATCGAAGTCGAAGAGAGTTCTTTTCATTACCGAAGTTTCAAAGTTTCTGGACCACGCTTAAAACCGCAATTTATCGTTGCGGCTCTCCCTAAAACTAAAATTGTTCAACGAGATTCTCCTCTATATACACAACGTTTAGCTTGTTTGTGTTTGAGTAACTGGATTTGGTTTTGACATAAATAAATAGCTGCTCGTTGAACTTGGTATACAGAATAGATATACATACATGGTACATAGTATAGAGGGTAATTAGGCGAATTGATCATAAAAATTCAAACCGTTCTATGCGACATTTCATCAAATTTCACGCCTAATAGAATCGATTACTCTGAACTTCGTGGAAATTTCATTATTTCCAAGGAATTTTTCATCTTCAATAGCATTCACGTGATAAGTAAAATGTATGGAAAAAAAATAAAGAAGAAAATTAATTATAAACGTAACAATATGGTTAAGGGAATTTCTCGACGTTTCTCCGTGAAACATTGAGTGCTTTGCAAATTTAATTTCACCATCCCTTGGACACCGCCATTTATAATACCCAGCTCGAACAGCTAACTGATAACTGATAACGTTTTTTACCGAACAGAACTCTAGCAGTTTACGGATAAAAGGTGTAAAGATAGGGGGTTCCCGTAGTTGTTTGATGAAGAGCTGGAGTGGATAATTGATAATAACCAATCGACAGCTTCTGATATTTATGGAGCACTCTTTGCAAGCTGCACGCATTTCCTTCCTGCACTTTTAACACTTACCGTATCACTTGTTATTTTGATATATCGATGCATATCGTGTATTTCTCGAGAATGTTCGTGAAAAAAAGAACAAAGCATCTTCGCTAGGATAACGATTAAAAAATTTCGAAAGAGGATCACGTATCGATGTAACGAAACAGTGGAAACATGTTTAAACATGTGAATTAAATTTCACACGCGATAAATTTGCATTAATTTTCCATTGACAACGTTAAAATCAATTATCAACCGGCAAAACATCGTCGAATTATTCGAATAATTATTCCATTCTATTTCACTCGGTATGCATTTTTCGACTGGCTTGTGTAATTCGAAAATACACCGTAAACTTTCTGCTGAATTAATTTCAACGAAAAAAAACAAAAGAAAAAGAAAATGGTAATTTATACGATTAAATCGAGTTCGTTTACGCTTTAACCTGACGTTACTTTAATTGCATTACGTACTTTAACTCCATTGTAACGGCACATTTGCATTTAGATCGCTTCGCGGTTCGTATTGAATTTAAACGGGAAAATTTATTTAATTTTTCGACGACCGAATATTGTGTCCTATCGCCATCGGAGATTCCAACTGATTTTAATGCGGCTTCGTGTTCCGTTCAATTTCGTAGAATTGAAATTTTCATAGTCTAGGGAATTTCTAAAAGCTAGCATAGGTATACGTAATCACACTGTTTCACGTATAAAACGATACACGACTACAAATTAAAAAATAATAAATTAATCAGAAAACTGAAAACTTCGTCCAAATATACACCGAAGATGAACGACCATTTTTACCGAAAAATTACAACGAAACAAATAGCCAGAATTACTATCTGTTTCACCCTGGTCGGTCGAGTTCCACGAAATTAGAACACGTCTCACGGCGAATTTTTCACTTTTTATTTTTAATTCTTCCATGTATTTTAGAAAGTTCAGCCGTGACAAAGGCGTAGTTCGCACCAGTGTATCGTTAATAAGGACACCAGTAGTGCGCTGAGAACTGAATACCTCATGCTCTGCACTCCACACTCTAGAGCACTTGAGAGGAGGCCAAGAGCCCTGAAAGGTATCACTGCTAATTTCTTTTAAAGAGAAACACGTCCTCGGTTCACCGAGACACTCCGCCTCTGATGTTGATAACGTTTTCTGCTGGAACACCTGTTTCGGTCTGGGTCTCGGTCTCGGTCTTGGTCTGAATATCGCGGTACGCCTTGGCTTCTGACTCTCTTACGTTTTCCCCATCTTGGTTCTCGTTTAAATCCCTAACCCGATTTTCATTCGTAGTGTCTACGAATAATTCGAGGAAACACTGACAATTCTCTTGTTCGTTCGAAATCCTTTCGAACTTTACCGGGGAAAATAATCGATCGAAACAAACAATTATTTCTCTATCGTACGAAATCACACGTGAACGACATTCTAAATATCTTAAAATTCGCCGTTTGAAAAATCGAACAGTCCAAATATGTAAGCGATTCTTTTCTTCTCTTTTTTTTTTTTAAGTTTGTCGATAGTAAAGTTGAAGAATTTGAAAATTTTCCGATTCCAAAAATCTATTCCATTAGAAGAAACAACTTGCATAAGTATCTTTCGATATCGCAATTTTTGCATTGTCAGACTCGGGGTAAAAGGATTTGAAATATTCCATAAACTCACCACAAGTTTCACGAAGTGTCTTCCATCATCCTCATTGAGGAGGCAACCGTCTCCAGCGGGTGTCTTTTTTCCGTTTGCGACTTCTCCTTCCTAGGAACCTCCTTTAACGAACATTCTCGCGACGCTTGCAAGTGCATATTATTCTATCCCCCAGACTATCGATGTTGCTCCGTCTTCTTCTCATCACATTTCAATCGTCACTGTTTAAAACCACTGGACGTATTTTAGAGTTCACTATGCCGACACAGTTAGTTTCTTTTGCAACATTTCCTTCCGGTGCACACGGCCGTCGTACGGTTTGCGTCTTTCCTCTTCATCGTTCACTTATGCCTTTTCTAAACTTTCATGTGGATTAGTTGAGAACGTAAACCGCGTTAAATATTTGAATAGACGCAATCGTTACCTACACACCATAAAGTTTGAACGTACCACACCAAATGATAGATTAATACCGAACAGCTGATCCAGTTACAGATAGATACACACACGTGTTTATTAAATAATAATAACAACGCTAAATTTTTGGTCAAGAAACGTAGGACCAGTATATTCTCCACAAGTGTCAGACCGCAAGGAAGCTAAACCTGACACTCCTAGAGTCAGGAACTACGTTTTCGAGCCTCGCGCCCGCCTTTGTAGTATGCCGAACGTAGACAAGGACAACGAATAAAAGATAAGCATGAAACGTGAGTCGGGGCAACCAAGCGATTTAAATATCAACTTTTTTAATTTAACGTTTTTTTATCACGAAATATTTCTTAACATATTGATGAGATTTTTCTGGGGTAATTGCCTTAATTACGACCCGGTCCAACTTACCCGCTTATGCATGGCCGTTAGTAAATCTTGCTCCTTTTTCCTAGCCTTTCCCCCCTTTTCTTTTGCTTATTTTTCTCTCCCTCTCTCCCTCGCCCTTCTTCTTCTCACCGTATTTTTTTCCCACTTTTTCTCCCCCCCGGGTTGGCTGTGTCGTTCTTTCGAGTGCTGCCAGGCCAGCCACCGTCAAAGGCGAGAAACAATTTGTTGAACTCGCCTCGCGGAACGCGTTTCTCGTTCCCTTAAACGTTTACGTACACGTCGCGGCTGTTTTTTCTTCGTAACGTGTTCGTCGATCAAAAAACCGTCGGAAATACACACCTAGCGCGGAGTAAAAGGGAGAAGGAGGTAGAGAGAGAGAGAGAGAGAGAGAGATGTTTGACGTAATGTAATCACGATTCGTTTACCATCGATTTACCAGCGAATCGTTCAAGCGTGAAAAAGAAGAAAAGAAAAGAAAATTCCGCTAATGAGTTAAACGTCACGTCGGAGTCTCTAAAAATTATCCTCGCGTTTTTATCTTTGGAAGTGACGTGGTGAAAATGATTACTCGCATGGTTAAACTAATTTCAAATGTACTATGTGATGCGCGTGCAGAGAAGCTCTACGACAAAAGGCCTCGTGCCTTTTTCGGGGCTCCCTTTTCCCTGGGAAAGTCCCAGGAAGTGGGGGCGCGGGCCTGCATTGCCGAGGCGATACTCTTGTCCTCGAGGACGAAGAAAAACATCTCTCGATTGTTCGCCTCGAGGGCCAAGAGTCGCCAGGCCTAAGTACGTAAGCCCTCCGTGGCGGTCGCCACATGCTGTTGAACTTAAAAAATGTCACTCGATTCCGATCCTCTCTCCCTCCCCCTCTGAAGAAATCGAAGAAGAAGGAGAGGGAGGGAGAAGAGGAGAAGAAGGAAAGGAAGGAAGAAAATGAACAACGTAAATTGTCCTCCACTTTAAGGACCTGGCGCTACAGTATTTATAGACAGCTTCCTCGAACGGAAATTGAAACGTTCCGAGTGGTAGGATCCTCTAATTCGCGCACCGACAGTAACCCAGTGCAAATACCGGACTTCGGGGGGACTGGCTTCGAGATCTGCCGGCACGATGAATATTTAATGCCGTGAACGGAGTTACGAACGACCGCCACGAAGCGCGAAACACGTTCGAATTATCATCGCGACCGGTTAAACCCTCGTTCCACTGTTACACGTTGGAACGCGGTGGAGGAGGAGGAGGAGGCAGAGTAACGGAAGAAAAGTCACGGGGAAGTCGATCGTTGTGGGGGACGGGTTACGTAACAGCCGGCGTTATCTTCGCCGGAAAGGCATTAGTCCGGCGGAAGTGACAATTTCCGATCGCGAACGTTTCCGTCGATCGGCCGTTCGCATTCATCACCGCGTCGATCCATCATCTTGCCGGACTGGATTAACGGCTAACCACTTCTGTCGGTGACTTTTATTGGCAAACACCGACTGGAAACAACGTTACGTTCCATTCGAAACAGTCAGATTTTTACACCCCGAATTCTCCTTCGATTTATGGCACTGTGATCGTTCCGGCTTCGAGATTCGTACGCGCTCGCGTTTGTAAGTGTTGGAACGCTTGTGACATTCGGAGGTTTGTCGAATTGGAGGAGAGTAATAGAGGAATTGATAATTAATTAATTTAATAATTTAAAATTGTTGTTGAACGCGAAGCAAAGCTGTACGGTCGTACAGAATCGTTGAGATTCTGAGAAAAATTATTAGAATTTCATAGTGTAACATGGTGTACACTACCGGCCAAAAGTTTGGAAACACCTCCCACTTTTCATCGATATTAAATCTGCTGCTAATTTTTTAGAGATCTCAAGTATATCTCAATTCTGCATTTATCAATTTATCTTAAATCAATTGATTCGAACGATAAGAAATTCTCAAAGAATGAAAAATGTATTCAACGTTTGTTTGTTATAATATCGTGAAATAAATTATATTATACGTTTTCTCCACCAAACTGGACAAAGTACAACTAGTACTTATCGAAATGATTTATCTCTCTCGAAGAAATCGAGTTTGTATAGTGAGAACGTATAAATTGTTATATGCAATGTTATAACAAATTGTCGGAAGTATAAATTTATAACAAAATTGTGAAAATTGATAAATTACAATTCTGCCTGAATTTTTGAAATTCAGAAAAACACAGGTAAACTTCCATTGCATTTAAACGATATTCTCCACCAAACTGGACAAAGTACAGTAAATTCTCTACAAGAGTCAGTAAGTTTACTGTCTCGCAACGTAAATTTAAGTAAATTAGGTTGAACTGTAGAGAAAATGCACAGAACTGAACAAATAATTCATTTCGCGATATTATAACAAACAAACGTTGAATACATTTTTGATTTGTGTAAAAAGGATTATTTAACTCGATAAATTTAGCTGTACTATGGTTATTTTTAATCTACGACCACAGGTCAACCTGATTTTTAATCCCTACGAAATTAATTTAACCACGAGTAAGTAACGAGAACGCTGAAACCTATGTTTCCATTGAAGAATATTGTAAAAACGTATAAATTGTTATATGCAATGTTATAACAAATTGTTAGAAGTATAAATTTATACCAAAAAATTGCGAGAATTAATAAATTATACGTTATTATAACATTACAATAGAAATCAAAATAGAATTACGAAAGAATCGGCGATTATCTGCGAAAAATAATTGATTCCCGCGAAAAACGAAGGATTTCCCGCGAAAAGTGACCGATTCCCGCGAGAAATTATCGATTTCCCGCGCAAAGTAGTCCGTTTCCCGCGCAAAGTAGTCCGTTTCCCGCGCAAAGTAGTCCGTTTCCCGCGCAAAGTAGTCCGTTTCCCGCGCAAAGTAGTCCGTTTCCCGCGAAAAGTAGTCGATTCCCGCGCAAAGTAGTCCGTTTCCCGCGCAAAGTAGTCCGTTTCCCGCGCAAAGTAGTCCGTTTCCCGCGAAAAAAATTGATAAATTATACCGTGTTACGATATCGGAAATCTCCCGCGAAAATCTCCCGCGAAAATTTCCCGCCTGACCTAACCGACGATTTTGCTAATGACTTTGGGGAGAGGGTACCGCAGGTATATAAGGACCCGCCGATGTCCCGCGAAATCATTTACCCTTTATACTGGGCCCTAGACACTTCGCGGCGTATTTTGACCTGAAGGTTCTGAGATGTGAATAGAGTGGTCGGGGGCTACTAGCTAGTCTATGTCCACCCTGTACACACTCAGCCTTCTTGTAACACTTGTATACATTAGAATCAATTAGAATTTCTATTACTAATTATTAAACAAATTTTAACAATTACCGGCACTCGCTAGGCACGTAATATCAGACTTTAAATACTCGACTTCGAACTTCGGTTTAGTCATAATTCTATTAATGTTATAATAACGTATAATTTATTAATTTTCACAATTTTATTATTAATTTATACTTCCAAAAATTTGTTAAAACATTACATATTATTATTTATACATTTTTGCAAGTTTCTTTGACAAATAAGTACGTTTCAACGATCTTATTACTTTCTCGTTGTGAAATCAAGTTCGGAGGATTAAAAATCAGGTTGACCCTTGGTCGTAAATTTAAAATAGCCATAGTGAAGGTGAAATTATTATTTTAAATAAATGTTTCTATACGAATTAAGAATCTATTCAACGTTTGTTTGTTGCAATACCGTGAAATAAATTGTATTATATATTTTCTCAGTTTAGACTGAATTTAAAGTTCGTAAGGATTAGAAATCAGGTTGACCTGTGGTCGTAGATTAAAAATAGCCATAGTGAAGGTAAAATTATTACGTTAAATAATTGTTTTTATACGAATTAAATATTGATTCAACGTTTATTTGTTGCAATACCGTGAAATAAATTGTATTATATATTTTTTCTGTTTACACTAAATTTAAAGTTCTGTTTACATGTTATAACAATTAGAATGTAGACGTTTTGCCGTTTCACGGTTTTTCCTCTGTTAATTATGTGTTTATAAATCATTTCAAACTAAAGCAGCACCATGCCCACCCTTAATTAAACCGTCTCAGTAGTTTACCGTAATTAATAATCTATTTTCGGAATTTATACGAGAATTTTTGAATTTTAGTAAATACTAGAGTCAGTGCATCGCGTATTGAAATAATAGCTTCATCCCTAGTTCGTTTATTATTGAATATTTTTACGCGTTTAACTTATGCTTCTCCCCAATTCTCGTCGCGTATTTTATTCAAATTTTCTTATATTCTAGAATCGAAAAAGATACGAATTCGCGTTTTTTCTTTTGATTCTTTCAATTTTTCAATTGCATTACGCGTTGTTGCAATAATTTCTATCGTTACATTTAATTCTAATTGTTTAGCAGCTTTTCTGCTGCTATCGACCCTACATTTTACTGACACTTGTGGAATCGACCCTACATTTTTGTTTTTTTTTTTTTTACGTGGAGGTAGGCCGACTCTATGTGATAAACAATTGGCAACCAAACGGTGGCTCGTTAAAGCGATATATTATGAAATTAAATTAATCACTCAATAAGTATTAACATTAGATTGTTTCCTCGATATGGTCATGGTGGTCATCAGTGACTGGAGTGCCTCAAATGTTTAGAATAATTAAAATAAAATAAATGTTGTCAACTAAAAATTTTGAACGTCATAGCTAGCTAGACATAAAGCATAATACTATAATCCTATGCTTAAAATGTATTTTTTTGTGGTCGCCTGACAGCAACCTGTAAATCTGGCGCGACAGTGAACGTGTTAATACGTAAATGTTGTTCATATTATATCGTGTTTTATATCATTTTCAGCAGAAAAATCTCACCAACATGTTAAAAAAAATTTCAGATGAAAAAAAGTAAAATTAAAGAAATTATATTTTTCTATTATGATTTGTGGAGCCGTGAAATCTCGTAAAGGAAACCGACTGGTGTAGCGTTACACGCTTGGCTGACTGCGAGCGAGATAACATGGACGCTGCAATGACGCAGATCTAGGCGTAGGACCATCTATACTGTCACTTGTAGAATCCAAACCTACTGACTCTTGTGGAGAATTTACTGTATTTGCAGGGCCGCATTTATTCTTTTGGCAACCCTAGACGCGCAACAATCATTACGATGCTTCAAAAGAATAAATCGATTTCGTTTAATCAAATGCATACGCATTTTGTTTTTTTTTAAGTTTATTGAAAACGAAAGTCGACATTTCCGTAATACCTTGATTTATTAAAATAAAAATAACACAACATTGGTAGACGTACGTATATTTGCATTGAAAAAAGAAGTACAACAATAAATCAGTTCAAATTTAAATTTTTAAAAAATTAATAATTAAAAGATGTTTTTATATCGTGAATTTAATATTTAAAAAGAAGTACTTTATTTTTTAACTATAACTAGACTGTTTTCTATATTGTTGATTGTGAGGGGTAAGGTTTTGAAATGTGGTCCCAGCTTGCGCCTAACACGCCTTATGATAAATACAGCCCTGCGTATTTGAACAATTTCATTGGTGTTTTGAGAGAAGATCGAATAATTCGTGATATTTTAGGTAACTTTTACGTTACCGCGTCCGCCATATTGGTACTAGAAACTAGAAGAATTGTTCGCAGAAAAATGAAACGAAAATTATTCGAAGCTTTCAAAGCAGTAATTTCTGTATAAGGAGGACGCGCTAACGAATGTAAAAGCCTTTTACCATTACGCCGGCGAAATACTAACTCCCCGAGTTACCGTATCCCTTATGTTTTTTGTCATTATTCCTATTATCCACGGAATATTATAACAAATATAATTCCACTTGCACTTGTTGTGCAAGAATAAATTATTTTTATAAACTAATTAAGTCACAGCGTGACTTACACACATACATATAGGTACAACCGTACATAACAGTAACGTTCATTGGAATTGTAATAGACTCCGTCAAATCGTTAGTAACATGATCACTTATCCACATCCATTTTGCGTCATTTCACATCATAAATCGGCCCGTATCAATTTGAATTGCACGTTTTATATATAAATTTAGAAACACTTCACATACTTTGCACACACACGCACACGTCGCAGCACACGCATACAAAGTATACTCGAATTAAATTACTACCGCAAACTAAGTGTTAAAAAGAACCGTGAAAAACTCTACCTCAATTAGAATATTCGTAGCAAACGTACGTTTGGTAATTTCCACAATTTAAATTTCCCGCGATAACTCTTCTTTTCACATAACGTAATCATCTCCGCTAACGTTAACGAGGAAACAATGAAACGACGAAAAAAAGAAGAAGGAAAAACAGAAAGCTCGATTATTAAACGGCGAAATGTACCGTTTATACTACAATAATCAAGTGAACGTTGAAAATAGCTAATTCCTCGAGCTCTGATCAATAATTGCATAGCTAGCAAAATAATTAATCAGCTTAGAATTAATTAACAATATTTCTAACGACTATTTGGAAACATTAGATATATACAGCGTATGGAATATTTGAACGATGTGACGCAACGAATTGATTAACAATTGTACACGCTGATAAGCTACATTTTTCGGTGAAAATGGGTCGCGTGAAGTGTTACAAGCCATTTCCTCAGAAACTATAAACTCTCTTTTTTCATACCCGGAGGCTAGAGGTAGCATTTCCTCCGTTTCTTCAAAGTAAAATGGGACATAAATTCCTTTACTCTCGTTAGGATAGTTCATTTACAAACAAGAAACATTCGTCAGAGTGAATTAATCAATATTTATACGCTAATGTTATTATTTCAGTTTCTAAGGATAATGGTGTTCGATAAATATTCAAGTAAAAAAAGGAAAAAATTTATTTAGCACTTAAACATTGCTTCTACTATCTGTTTAATACCATTGAACGTCAAAGTAGCAAGAAAGTTAATATCGACTCACGATTGGTTTTCATGAAAACACTTCTTCACATTTTATAATATCTCTATTTATACAAAGATAAATTCTGTCTAAGGTATATTAAAAATTATACTTTTGATTGATTTGAAAAACTAAAATAATTAAAAAAAAATGCTTTACACATCGTGTAACATGTAAAATATTTCTGAGCTTGATATTTCTTAAAACACATGTATTACATTTTATAACGCAGAAAATATCGAAACCTGGAATATCCTAAAGCACAATGTTCTCGATGATTTAAAATGCCATCAAGCGTGAACAGTTAAGAAACGATTTCCAGAAGCACAAGGAAATTTCAAAATACCAGTAGAACAACAACTGCCTGTATCTTTCAGCATGTTACCATATACGTGTGTATGCACGTCATAAATTTTATTCCTCTTATATACATACATGCCATATACGCACGATACAATCCATATTACGTTTTGTGCACGCTGCCACATAAATAAATGACCCGTCTCTGTGTGTAACATGTAAATAAATATATAAGATAATTTCATAGGTAATATCGTGTAGTTTCAAACGACCCTCGTAAAACACGCGATCGCACTCATGGAAATAACGCAATATTCCTTTGGATAGAGCTAACGGTATTTCGTGCCTTCAATACGTTAATCAAATTCGCGACTCCATATAAAATCATCGTTTGACGTTTTCGTGTGGTGAAAATTCCATGAAAAATTGTTTTGCTTGTTCGCAAAAGCTTTCACGAAATGTATACGTACACGGTGTGGAAAAAAACAGGATAATAGAGAAGCGGTACCGTGCAATATTTCTGAAACACTTAGTTTGTTATACAGGTATTCGATAATCAATAACTGAAAAAATCGCGACCGTATGCCATATGGGGCTATCATGAATCAAACGATTTCTAACCTTGACTACAATCTCAATTTTGGCGGTTACATCTAAAAAGACCCTGTCAGTACCTACATATTGCATACGCGTACTTATGTTTCATATGCTTGTGTGCATGTGTACATGGCTATCTGTATGTACATATTAAACGTGTATACACATATACAGGTACCGTGAAACGTGGGAAAACTATATAGAAAAATACTTCAAATGATAATAAAAATCATCCGATTTCGTTTCTACTGATGAAAAAATGAAAATTAAACAGTGAGTCCCGTTAACGTTTACGATCAATTTTTATCCAACCTGTGAATTCTACTTTGCCCTACCCTTTGAAGAATATCAATGAATTATCTCGTTAATTATATACACGTCGTAATTTTATTTCAATGTTTAATTTACATCGTAACCATTCTAAGCAGAAATAGTTATTTTAACGTGTATATAATA